GTCTCCCATCCAGGTACTGGCCAGGCTCCCACCTGCTGAGCTCCAGTGGTGCCAGCCCATGAGTCGCAGGGTGATACGGCTGCTGGCCACTCACTGTCAGCAGTGGGCAGTAGCGTGAGAACCCGTCGTTTGTAAACCCGGACCGGACCGAAGCGTTAGGCATCAGGATTGTCTCCTGGGTCCTGGTGATGGGAGATGCTCCCCGCTGCCTGAACGGGCCGCTTTGCTCTCAAGGGCCCATGACAGGGAAACGACAAAACGCGTTTAAGAGCAAGTTTCCCCATCATGCACCTTGCTACCGAGATTGACGTCAGCGGTCTCGGCTTCACTCTCCCGGTCTTCGCTCGCTCGATGGGAAAGCCCCAGCCCCAGGGGATCTGGGGGGGCGTGCCCAGGTGGGGGTAACTGTATACGCAGGGGGCACTGACCTCTTGGCCTCCTCCAGGTGGCACAGGTACTGGTAGGCCACGCTCTGGACGCGCCGCTCGTCCATCTCCTCCGCAGTCAGGCGCTCGACTGCAAGACACCAACGCACGCTGAGTGAAAGTCGGCAGAGGGCAGGCGCTGCCCGAACACTGGCAGCGGGCGGGGGACAGGACGATCCTTCGTCCAGCAGCAAAGCAGCTGTGTTTCATGCAAACACTGAAAATACGACATCAACAAAACATCTACCCCCCACATACCATATCCATGTCACCCCACCCACACAACCGCAGCAGGCGGAAGGCGGGGTACGCCCTGGACGGGACGCCAGCTCACCGCACGCACACACACACACACGCGCACACACGCACACCAGGGCCTGTTTTCCCAGGAGCTAGCCTGCCAGCGGCGAGGAAACCCACACGAACACAGGGAGAACATGCGAACTCCACACAAACAGCACCCCCGGGTCCAGAACTGACCGGCTCACCGCGGCTCCACCACAACCCTATAAACATTCTCCCCCACCATCGTGACACGAAGCCCCTATATTTACACCCCACCCTCTTCCCTGTCCCCTGACTGCACCTGGGAGAGCACTGTATGAGACACCAGGCCTGGCAGGTGACAACTGGACACCCGAACCAGACCGACCGACCCTGACTTGCATTGCCATAGGGACTGGGGGACCCCCAACGTGCCTGGGAGCTGGGATACAGCCCAACCACTGCTGTAGCTAAGAGAGTGACTGGACCACAGAGCTGGGCTGCAGCAGAACACAGGAGGGGTGTGTGTGGGCCTTCAGGATCGAGATCGGGAAACGCTGGCCAGCGGATCAGCACGTCCGACCAGTCTGCACTGGGATTGACGATCTACAGGCTAGCCTGACTCAGGCGGCTCATGACCTGCCACGCGTTTCCTGCTCTGTGAGGGTCTGGATCTGTTCAGCCCGGGGTTCCTAATGTTCTGTCCTGTATCAGTAGCTGCCTAAAGGGAAACACTGTCGCGACGCGAGTCTCTTAATTAATCAGAACAACACTCGAGGCCTGGAAAGGGCCGGCAAATTGGAACGCCAGTCAATGATCTAAGCCAGACCTGAAGGGTATTCAAGAATTTATTGATTCTTGAAATCAATAAATCACAGAGCTTGTGCTGGAGTGGGAACGAGGAACGGCCAGCTCCGAGATTCAACGCGAAAGGCAAGACATCGGGGCAGGAGGCTCGGTCCGGTTCTGGCGCTGGTCGGACCCGGATCCAGACCAAAACTCTGGTCAGATGAGCTCCTCAGCAGTGGCCCCGGAAGAGACCAGAACCGGGACCAGAACCGACCTCCCGCGGCCTGTATGCACAGCTAAAACAGTCACACACGCCGTCCTCGCATTTTAAGCGTTCCTCGGGGGGCTTTTAAACAGACCCCTCGGAACAGGAGTGTGTTTGCCGCTACCCGAACTGTATTGTTTGTATCCTGTGGACAGGAGCCCGGCTAAGGCCATCCAGTGAGGAAATAACTGTAGGAAGCCCAGTCAAGGTGTCCGTGTCACAGCAAACCAGGGAGAGCAGCGTGTGGGAAGCGGGCAGTCCGCCAGGCGCGCCTCCATTGAGCCGGCCCTCACGCCCGGCGCCCGCCGCCATCCCCACGAACCGGTCTGCCCGGCGTGATTCCGAGATTCCTGGCGTGTTTCACCTGGGGGGGTGATGACCGGCGTCGCCACTTCCGCTTGCAATCGTCTCCTATATATATTGTAACGCAACGGGGGCTCAGGCGGGCGCCCTTGCCGCATTAGGTCACTCAACAGGGACCCAGCCCGGTGAGCCAAAGAGATCTCTCTACAGCCCAGTAGCTGTAGTCCTGCTATCACAGGGAAGGGCGGTGACGTCACCTGCTCTGGTACGCCGGCTCTTACACAGAACCTGTCGGCCGTAAGCGTTACACTATATATTTGTTGTTTTTTTTTAAAAAGAAGGTGCGACGTCTGCCGGAAACGGGAGAAATCAAAGTCGTGCCCCGGTGCTGTCAGAAGGTAAAAGCGCTTCACGCGTGGATGTGTGTGGCCTCGGGTGCGAACTCCAAGAGCGCTCGACACCCCCCACCCCACCCGAACCTCCAGTCACGGACGGCGTGGGCTGTGTCGCGGGCGGCAGAGCCTCAGGGAGAGGAACTCCGAACCGAATCCGACACCGACGGGCCCACTGCAGTCCGGCCGGGGCCCCCCGGTCCCGCTGCTCCACCTGAACACTGAAGTCCAGTTCCAGACTCAGCCGCCATTCCTCTCCCAGCTCTGAGAGCCGTGCAGGTGAAACACTGGGACGGCTTTGCTTTCACAAGGATATTTCGTTGCAGTGCGAAAACATCCCCTCAAACAGCCGAGCTAGTCAGGGACGCGCAGGGCAGCTTAAATGACATTGTTTATGCCAATACAGCACAATCTCCCACAGACCCCTACTGAGCTTTTATATCCGTCTCTACGGCCCCCAGGCGAAATCGTCTTTACAACTAATTTCGGAATCTAGTAATTAAAAAAAAACGGGAATAAATCCTGACCTCATTTTGACATTAAAAATGTTTCTTGTTATTAGTTATACAGGCGTGGTGACTTACATGCCGAACGCGTTTGTCCCTCGCAATCGTCCATATTCCTTGTCAGCCTGTACCGCGTCCACTCAACGCCAAAAAAACAACAACAGGTTTCCTCTTTTTCCCCACAAACAAACTCGGTGCTCACTGGCTAATTCGCAATATGCCTCTTTTAGGAAGAAAATTCCTTTGCTTCAGTCATTCTAAGAAATAACTTAAGAGAAAACCGGGAGAGAAGCGCGATATCGCTGGCACAACAAAGTTCTGTTAATTTTCCGTGTGCCTCCTGTTTGAATATCCCGCCGTCTGCCGGGATAAGACAGCGCCGCTCCCATTGGTCGGGATCCAGGTGGGCGGAGGCCCACCGCCTCGCCTTTGAATTATGGGAGATGTAGTCTTTTTTTGGGACCCCTTCTTGTGGTTAGGCTGGGGAGCAAGATCAGACTTTGGAGAACACACGGCTCGCATTTTCACCGCTTTCGGAAGGGCGTGTTTCCCTTACGAAATCAGGACCCGAGCTGCGAAGCTGCCCCCTTTGGACCGTGTTTTATAATCCAAGGTGGCCGCCCGTCTTGCTCCCGGCCCGGCGGCTCTAGCGGGCTTGCGAGCGAACTGGTTGCTGGGGCAACCGAGGTAAACCGAGCACGCGGAAACCGATACACCCGCGCAACAACACGGAGCCCAGGCTGCGGTCAGAGCATCGCGAAATGATGCAAAACCGAGCTCGATAAAGACGTCAAAAAAACTCTCTACTAATCAACCTGAAAAGAGATGGGAGGACTTCTGTAAGTACAGTACAATGGGCTGAGTTCTGTAATGCAATTCGTCGCAGGAGAGCGATTCCTAACTAAGGAAATACAGCTTGTTCTCTTTGGCTACCAGCTCTTGTAGTGTCTTTAAAGACACCTCTGCCTGGCAACTAAACAGGACAGGAGCGGCCGCGAAATTTACATCCCTACATGATAGTTTTAATAATTCACATTGCAACGCTACGGGGTTCACGTGGGTATGCGCCCTCGCCGCTGCCGCCTCCAGTCGGGGCGCATACCCACCGTTAGGGACTCGAACCCGGACCTCCGGTGACACTCAACAGCGACCCAGCCTGTTGACCCATAGAGAGATCTCCCGGTCCCTGCCATTCACAGGGAAGGGCGGTGACGTCACCGCAATGGAGGCTGTATGCGTTACAATATCAAAGGCTGGTATAATGCAGTCTTGGGCTGTAAGAGCCGAGCTGTCTTGAGTTACAGTGTAAGCTGTGAAGCGCGGTGTCTGCAGGAGCGCCGCGGGGTCAGTGTGAGAGCAGGCCGACAGCGAGGGCGGACACCCCGCCCTGTCTCTGGAGACCGGGGGCGCTGGCCGGGTGACGCGGGGCTCGGCGGCCGCTGAGCGGGGCCACGGCCCCAGCGAGAACGGTGTGCGGGATTCCTTTTCCACACACCAGAGAAGCTTGGTTTGCAAAAAAACAAAAGACACAGCAGCAAAGTCACCGAGCAAGTAAAAGTAAAAAAGAGGTGTATTCTTCCGGCGGTTTCTTAATCTTACTGCGAAATTGAAACCTTTTATTCCACAGCTAGGAAATACAGTGTCTGAGGTTTAAAGAACTGACCTGCATCAACGATTTTTGAGAAGGGGTGCGAGAGCCTATATTGAGCACTGAAGAACTACAGACTGCTGTTCAGGTCAAGAAGCAGTCCTGTAGGGTGTCAGTAATCCAGAGCACTCGCCACTATACCGCAGTGTAACACCACCTGTATCTGAAATGTCAATTTACAGCTGAGATTTGCCTTTTCGTTTGTATGATTCCGGAAAATACACTGATGAGAAAACTCTTATGAGCTACATTTACCTCGCTGCCTTCCTGATATACTCTAGGCTAGAAATACATGGCTAAATATTTGTGCCTTGTATTTGTCCTCCTGTTTTTCTCTATACAGCCAACTATTGTTGCGTGCCCCATATTACTCAGAAAGCAGATGAACCCTGTGTCTCAGGAGGGCTACATCATGTTAAGATGCAGTATACTGTCTCTGTTTGGGTTTTACAAGCACCCTGTCGGTGTTAGTGTGCCTTGTGTCTGCTTGTGTGAAATGTCGCTCTGTGTTTCCGGCGCTAGATGGTGACCCACCGTAACTGGGCCTTGATGTCGCGGCGTGGCCTGGCCCTGGTCTAATGGCGTCAGATGAGGTGACAGTGGCCCCCCAGGCCTCATCCTCAGCTGATCATGATCCCAGGGGCCACAGGAAAAAAGGCAGGGCCCAGTCAGAGAGGGGTAGCGGGGGAGCTGAGCTCTCAAAGGCCCGGGCAGAGATCGAGGAGCTGACCGCCGCTGGACACCAGGCCTTGCTCCGGGGCGACAGACCTGAGGCGCTGGCCTGCTTCAAAAAGGCTTTCCTGGCCTCCTTGCAGGTGGGTGGGTTGCAGTAGCCTCACGCAGTTCGACCGCCAGCACCTGGGCAGACTTGGCCTCCATCTGATAACATCTGTGACAAAACACCAGGCACAAAATAGAGCAGGCACAAACACACTTTCAGGCAACAAACACATCCTCTTTGGGGAACATAGCCTTGTGCATCATGAGGAGCCTGATACAGACATTTAGACCGCAGATATGGAAGTACTTTGGGAGAACCGGGCAGAACCACAGACGGGCGCTGTGCCTATTTTAATATTGCAGGTTATGATAACAGTACTTTTAGGCAACCAG